CACCGTGCTGGGACAGAGCCCCCTCCCCAAATTCACCACCCTAGACCTCTCCACTCGCCTGCTGGGTGGTAATTACTCATGGGGGGTGCTAATTATCAGGGGGTAATTAGCACAATCACCCCCTCAACACTTCCTTTCCTTTAGGGAAGGTGCACGGTTCGCTCGCCCGTGCTGGCAAAGTCAGGGGTCAGACCCCTAAGGTGAGTGCTTGGGGGGTCCCACTTTGTTTTGGTGACGCCCCCCCAGGGTTTGGGGGTCTCCTCAATTTTTTTTTGGGGTGTCCTGACCCCCCTTGTTGGCCTCAGGTGGCAAAGCAGGAGAAGAAGAAGAAGAAAACAGGGAGAGCCAAGCGGCGCATGCAGTACAATCGGCGTTTCGTCAACGTGGTGCCAACCTTTGGCAAGAAAAAGGGTCCCAATGCCAACTCCTGAGCACAAATAAAACAATTTGGGGCAAATTCTCTCCACTTTGGGCCTTCTGCAGTTTTTTTCCTGCTTTTTGAGGTATTTTGAAGGGTTTTTATGTTGATTTAAGAGGCATTTGGAATTGTTTAAAAGGTTTTTTGGGAGGGGTGAAATGGTTTTCAGAGGGTTCATGGAGATCCCTGGGGCAAATTCTCTCTAGTTTGGGCCTTCTGCAGTTTTTTTGGGGTGTTTAGGGTTTTTTTTAAGGTGTTTATGTTGATTTAAGAGGCATTTGGAATTGTTTAAAAGGTTTTTTGGGAGGGGTGAAATGGTTTTCAGAGGGTTCATGGAGATCCCTGGGGCCAATTCTCTCCAGTTTGGGCCTTCTGCAGTTTTTTTCACTTTTTTTGGGGGTGTTTACGCTTTTTTAAGGTGTTTGTTGATTTAAGAGGCATTTGGAATGACTTAAAAGGGGGTTGGAAGGGGTGAAATGGTTTGTAAGGGTTCATGGAGATCCCTGAGGCCAATTCTCTCCCTTTTGGGCCTTTTTGGGGTATTTTTTCACTGATTTTTGAGGTTTAAGGGATATTTTTTAACATTTTTATGTTGATTTAAGAGGCATTTGGAACTGTTTAAAAGGGGGTTGGTTGGGAGGGGTGAAATGGCTTTGAGAGGGTTCATGGAGATCCCTGGGCCAATTCTCTCCATTTTGAGCCTTTTTGGGGTTTTTCAACTGGTATTTGGGGTGTTTAGGGTTTTTTAAAGATATTTATGTTGATTTAAGAGACATTTGGAACTATTTAAAAGGGGGTTGGGAGGCGTGAAATGGTTTTCAGAGGGTTCATGGAGATCCCTGGGGCAAATTCTCTCTAGTTTGGGCCTTCTGCAGTTTTTTTGGGGTGTTTAGGGTTTTTTTTAAGGTGTTTATGTTGATTTAAGAGGCATTTGGAACTGTTTAAAAGGTTTTTGGGAGGGGTGAAATGGTTTTCAGAGGGTTCATGGAGATCCCTGGGGCAAATTCTCTCTAGTTTGGGCCTTCTGCAGTTTTTTTGGGGTGTTTAGGGTTTTTTTTAAGGTGTTTATGTTGATTTAAGAGGCATTTGGAACTGTTTAAAAGGTTTTTGGGAGGGGTGAAATGGTTTTCAGAGGGTTCATGGAGATCCCTGGGGCCAATTCTCTCCCTTTTGGGGTATTTTTTCATTGATTTTTGACATTTAAGGGATATTTTTTAACGTTTTTATGTTGATTTAAGAGGCATTTGGAACTGTTTAAAAGGGGGTTGGGGAGGGGTGAAGTGGCTTTGAGAGGGTTCATGGAGATCCCTGGGGCAAATTCTCTCCATTTTGGGGCTTTTTGGGGTGTTTGTAGGGGTTTTTTATTAAGGTTTTTAAGGAGGTTTGTATTAAGAGGTGTTTAAGGGATATTTTTTAACATTTTTATGTTGATTTAAGAGGCATTTGGAACTGTTTAAAAGGGGGTTGGTTGGGAGGGGTGAAATGGCTTTGAGAGGGTTCATGGAGATCCCTGGGCCAATTCTCTCCATTTTGAGCCTTTTTGGGGTTTTTCAACTGGTATTTGGGGTGTTTAGGGTTTTTTAAAGATATTTATGTTGATTTAAGAGACATTTGGAACTATTTAAAAGGGGGTTGGGAGGCGTGAAATGGTTTTCAGAGGGTTCATGGAGATCCCTGGGGCCAATTCTCTCCCTTTTGGGGTATTTTTTCATTGATTTTTGACATTTAAGGGATATTTTTTAACGTTTTTATGTTGATTTAAGAGGCATTT